AAACTTATCACCGGCATTCGAGCAGTGATCCCCACTTCCTCTCTCTTTCTCTTCACCGCTCGAACATGGCCCTTCCTTGCATTGTTCGAGTCCCCATCAGCCGGGCCCCCTAACATCATATAGATCGTCCCTCTCTTCACTGGGCCATGATCCTCCTGACCTCGATCTCGACTCCCTCGTCTCCTCTTGCCTCCTCGATCATCTCTCCCTCCTCGAGGATCATCCTCATCATCATCATCATCTCGATCACTCCGCTCCACCGAATCCTCCCGACACTTTCCTTTACCCTTCCCCTTCGCCTTGTCTTCATATACAAACTCCTTAAGATATCCTGCTCTAATAAGGCGCTCGATCTCATCCTTGAGGTGTCTGCACTTCTCCGTTGTATGCCCATAATCTTTATGAAAACGACAATACTTCCCCGACCTAGGTTGCGTTGGGCCCTCACGCCTCGACTTCGACCACGTCATGTCCTTATTCTCGATCTTCTTCTCAATAGCCACCAGCACCTCCCCCATGTTTCCATTAAGGGGCGTAAAGTTATGGAACTGCTTCCCTCCAAACACTGGTCGATCTTTCCACCGGTCCTCTCGCCCTCGATCAACCCTGCCACGCCCCTCTCTCCTAGGCGATCTCCTACCTGGTGACGCCTTTCGAGGTGAGCTCGTCCTTCCTTTCTTCGGCTACGGCCTAGCCAACTCCTCCAACTTAGCGAACTCCGCCTCCGTCTCTTCCAGATTAATATACTTCTTACACCTTTTCAGCACATCATCATACGTACGAGCAGGGGTTTTGGCTAAAGATGTTCGACAGGGCCCTGCTCGCAAACTCCGTATCAACCCCCCAGCCTTCACCTCGTCCGAGGCCGTGGGGATCTACAAACAAGTTTGATTGTATCGCGCAACATACTTGCGCAACGATTCTTTCCCCCCTTGCCTCATGGCCATCAACGTCAAATACGTTTTCTCCTGCGCCACCGCACTCGCATACTGGGTCATCAGCTTTTCCGCGAAATCGTCAAAGTCCTTGATCGATCCATGAGGGAGCTGCTGGAACCAAACGAGCGCACCTCCCCTCAAGGTCGACAAGAATGCCCTGCAGCTAACAGAATCAGAATAACCATGTAACACAGCCAAATTCTCAAACGCCCTTACATGCCTCGACGGGTCAGTGGTCCCGTCGAACATCAAACTCATGTCTCTAAAATTCGCAGGTAGTGGTGCAGCCAATATATCCCTCTAGAACGGATGTCCTCAAGCACGCCTTTCAGGTCGACCATCCATCTTAGCCTGCATCTGCCTCACTTGCTCCGCGAGCCTCTCCACCTCACGATCTCGCGGGGCCCCATTTCCTCCATAGCTAGATACGTCCTCATCCACCATCGTTGGTCCAGCAGCCACTCGCGAAAGGCTTTGAGTGACCTGCTGAACCGCTTGTGCCGCCGCGTTCGCCACCATTTGCTGCATCTCCTGTCTGGTCATCACCACCTGCTGGCCGGGGCGCGGCTCCTCCACCGGCGGTGGTACTGCTCCCTGCACCGCCGCTCCTTGCTGCAGCGTCACGGCCAGCTCTGTTTGCAGCGGCGTTGGGATCGCCACTCCTTGAGCTGTACGAATCTCCTGGGCCCGGCTTGAGCCCACGTCAGCCTCTAGTTGCACCGGCGTGACTCCTACACCTTGGGGAACGGGCATCGGAGTCACCGGTGTATGCAAGGGTCCGGAGAAGCCCGGAGGAGGGCCATCTCCAAACGGCCTCGTCATCGTCCAAGCATCGTCGAACGATGCTTGCAAATCTCTCCTAGGAATTCCGTCCGCCATAGCCACCGAGCTTCAGAAATCTCAGCACACCACTTTTCGAACGAAAGTCCCACAGACCGCGCCAAATGGTAACGCAAAACACTCCGACCGGCTTGAAATCAGCTTGCCTCCTTCTTCCTCGCCGGTAGAACGCCGCGTTCCTGCACAGAACTCTCACACCGGAGGGGTTTTCCGGTGAAGAGCCTCCGATGCTTAAGTCAGTATGTGTTTGTTCAATTTTCCAAAGTAAAGAATGGATAAATCGTAATTCACAAGAAAAGACCCACTCCCATATATATAGGAGTGAGATACCTGCCCTAGAAACTGCCCGGCTTTTGGTGAGCTGTCCTGCCCATACTGCCCGTCCGTACACACATAGTGTGTGTGTGTCAGAGATGTCAGGGGTGGCTATCGCTACTATCGCTCTGCACCAATGTATTCTCGCCACGTGTCCCTCTGAGCTGAGGGAGATTATTCTTCTGCGCAAGCCTTTGGGATCTTCTAACGCCGCCCACGCGCCTTCTCACGTTCAAGCCACGCTCTCGACTGCTCTCTACCTGCTGCGTGCTCGATCTGGTCGAGTCCCCATCCCTAGGTTGATCCTCGACCAGTTCTGCTATTCTGCTCGATCTTCTCCCTTTTGGTCGATCATCCTTCGACCCAAACGGTTTTCTCTACTTCGAGCTTGCCCGACCTATTCAGTAGGCCGGTCTATTCCTTAGTCATATAATATCCCATATCATTGTACATTTGCATATAGTAAAATATTTTAAATGTAATACATCTATTATCTAATTTAAATTTTAAATATAGTATACATACGTATAATATATAATTTTTTTTTTTATTTTGTCTTTGTGCATGTGCACAAGAACAAATACTAGAAGAATGGTCCGCACTAACAATCTTTATATTTTACATTTCTAGATAAATTTTTTAAAATATTAATAATGATTTACTCTTTCAGTCCTTTAACTGTAAATCGATTTAGTGATATAAAACCGAATATTTAGTTGGATTGGTACATTTTCTAATGTTGATTTCTTACTTTTTTTTTTTGCGTGATCACATATTTTTAACTTTATTTATTTTTTTCTTAAAAATTGTTCAATTAGTACGCTCTCATCAATAAAAACTAGTGTGTACCCCGTGCGATGCACGGGAACAATATTATAAATAGATCTCGAGTTTGAGTCACTCAATGGCGGAAGTGGAAACTACAATTTATCCTATTTAAAAAGAGAAAGAAAAAAAATAATAATAAATTAAAGAGGAGGATAAACAATACTTAGTAATTATAAATTAAAGATTCGGGGTCAAACAATGTAAAACTATTTTGTTTAAGAGAATATGAAATTTGCATTATTTTGTATAAGAGAATATAAAATTTGTATTTGTAATATTAAAAACACCTAAAATATATATTAGTATATGTAAAAGTATTCAAATTTCTATATTATTTTTGAAAGATGTGAAGTCACCTACAACTTTTCTAAACAACTTTAGAAGGAAAACATATCTAAAAACATTTGAATTTAACATTGTGTAAAAAAGATTTTTCTAGACTATTTTGTAAAGAAAACATGTCTACAAATATTTAAATTTAACATCAATTATGTATATGTGTATATTTATATATATATATATATATATGTATGTATATATAGACGAATATGTAAACAAAAATGTCTAAACAATTTTTTTAAAATATCTAAAATATTATAAGCATAATTTAAAAAAGACATTATGTCAAATGATACCGAATTTATGACGTTACTTCCATCTAAAAAATTTGATTACACACCATTAATATTATACTTTTTACGTTGTTATCGAGGATGTATTGTTAGCGTTACTTCCATCTAAAAAATTTGATTACACACTATTATTATACTACTTTTTACGTTGTTATCGATGATGTATTGTTAGCTTATAATATTTGTAAAAATATTAATAGTTAGACCGATGAAAATTAGCTTTTTAAAGTAGAGAATGGATTTATAGTAGTAATTATGAATTGATTTTTATTTTATTTAAGATGAGATTTTTTAAACTATGCAATGGGATTTTGTAACAAATAAGAGATAAACTCTAGATTTATGCTATGAGATTTTATAACGCGATAAAGGAAAACAAATTCTAACACAATTAATCTGCTGATTTTGTTGCCTTATCAATATTGTCCAATAATTATTATATACATTTAATGTATTTGGCGGGAAAACTAAAAAAAGTTATTCTTTTTATATAATGATAGATATTATGCAATGTGCTGTGAAAGTTCAATTTAAATAAAATTTTCAACCAAAAAACATATTTTTCCACAACTTATAGATATTGAAGTTAAAGTATAAGTACCTGAAATCTAACTTTTATAAAAATAAAATAGTAAATTTTGAGGGTGGTAGGATTCTAAGTTTTTAAAAACTTGACGGTACACATATCGCTATTTATATTTATAGTAAATACATTCTATATGAAATGAGCGTTTTGACTTAAACTACAAGCTCGTTATTTAACATTTAAAATCAGACCCCCTGAGTAAAATTCCTGGATCCATCACTGCTAACATCATAGACTTTAGTTAAGTACCGGAACAAGCACCACTAGGAACCCAAGTAACCAACGCCAATATCTTCCATTCAGAACAAGCCCCGCAGACAAAACAAAAACTGAAGCTAATTGACAATTCATATACTGATGTAAAATGTACAGTTCGTCTACAGACAATGAACTCATGTATCCATTGAAAAATACTCAAGTGTTTGCTCTTAGTCCTTAGAAAAAATTGTATTGTATATTTTTTCTTTAAGATACTTATTCTACAATAAATTTATTTTTTCGTCTGATTAAGCAATTTTTCTCTAATATTAGTTAATTGCATGAGTGTCATAATTAAACACCTTAAAATCACATAAACAGTTGCTATAATAATAATAAAAATAATTGTAAACTATTTAACTGTATAATCCCTTTAAATTACAAAATTACATTGTTCATTTATGTCATCACTATAAAGATTCATATATATGTAAAATAATTTTTATTTATATTGTATATTTGCATATAGTAAAACATTTTAAATGTAATATTTCCATTATCTAATTAAAATTTTAAATATAGTATACATACATACAATATATAATTTTTTTATTTTTTTATTTTTTGTCTGCGCATGTGCATAAAAACAAATACTAGAAGATTGGCCCACAAATTTGTAGCGGTGGACTAACATCAGAGACTTTAGTAGTAAAGTACCGGAACAAGCCCCATTAGGAAACCAAGTAACCAACGCCAAAATGCACGCAAAACATCCACAGCATGACTATATATCTTCCATCCGCAAACCAAACAAAAACTGAAGCTAATTGACAAGTCATTTACTGATGTAAAATGTACAGTTCGTCTACAGACAATGAACTTGTCCATGCAGATGAGAGTAAATGCAACTCCACATAAAGGTAACTAATGCTACTCATACTATCACTTTGCAAATAAACCCAGTACCAATATTCCAATTAAAGCATTTTCTACATGAACTAAAGGCTGCCCTTATCTCCAGTAGAGCAGGGTGCAGCAACTGCAGGCAACTCCACATAATCAAAGTCATCAGTTATGCCAACCTGTTCAAGAAATGAGGAGAAACTTCTTAAGGTGCTGGAAAGAGAAAATGCTGACACAAGCATCAAAAGAATTCATGTCCCATTCTAGGTGCATACCAATGTAAACAACATACCTCTTCGTACAGGTGATCGAGTTGCTCTCTTGCCTGAGGAAAGTTGTTTGAGCACCATTGTCGCAGTGTAAATATGTTGTCTGTGAAGATGTAAGCAAACAATGGTGTGATGGTGACAAACAACATCAATTATATGGAATCCAAAAGGCATAAAGGGGAATTTACTAAACGGGTACCTGTCCATCTATTAGCTGCTGTATGAGCCACTTCAACAGCCTTCTCTGAGAAGCAAAGTCGAAATTCAATAATGTGAGAAGCACGTAACTCGATTTTAAGAAAATGTTGAGATTTTAAAACGAGAATGGATATCAATGCTTAACTCGTAGCCTCAAAGGTAGCCGGATCATTGTCTGAGTATTGCGCAATTTCATTCTGCGGAGGAAAGAAAATGAGGGGGGAAACAACATCCATAGCATCAGAATCTAATTCCAGAAAAAACAAGTGAGAAAATCACAAGGGAGATTGAAATATGACTGAACCTTGAGCTGATTATACTTCTGTTCAATAGCTTTAAGCTCATCAAGTGCTTCCTCTCGTTCATCCTAATATAAGAAGCTAAATTAGACTTCTGAGTAATACTAAACACTAAATTGTAAATGTATATATACGAGCTACGGTAAAATTTACTCACAGATTCCTCTCGTCCCTTCTTTAAAGCATTGCACTGATTACTTAGTTCCGTATATCGCTTTTCAGTACTTTGGAGATCGTTGGTGAGCTTCCTTTGTATGTTCCTCAGCTGTAGACGTGGAACAGCTTAGGAATAGGTATAGTAATCATGAAAGTAAATTTCACATCAATTCCACTTTCACGTCAATTCAAAGATAAGCATTAATCACCAATCACCTGGTTACCAGCACAGCTAGGAAGACTCCAAAAATATACCTGAATTTTTAAGCACAATAAAAATCAAAGAATGGGATTATAATATCAATATCTGTAGTATAAACATACACAAAATGAAGGCATGTAATGAACAGCCATTATATGTCAGAAGAAAGAGAAAATAAAATGCTCTATTGAAGTTTACTTACTGAACTTCCTATCTTGTCCTTGAAAACGAGGTCATCATCCACCAGACACTGGAGCACATCTTTCACTGATTGGGTAATTACACCTTTTTTAGGACCCAATTTCTCAAGTTCCTTAAGCTAAAACAAAACTTAGGAGAAATCAATAATCTTGTAAAGATGCTAGGTGAAGAAATACTAGCTTCCACAGAATATATATTCAGAAGACATTCAACTATTCAAGGGTACTACGTAAATAGTTGAAGTGTATGAGACTCAATATATCTGATAGCATCAAACTGGGGCACTGATGAGTTGCAACACCCTGTAATGTAGTGTTAGTACTATTATAGGCTTTATTTAATTCCAAAGAACATTAACATACAATGTGTCTTTAATTAATAACTAATTACTGCAACTATTGACTTTGATCAATTCTTAACCTAATGTTGAAATAACATATTCAAGGGTGTCATTGAAGAGAAAAAAAACGTACTATACATGTCAGCAACTATACCAATACTTTGAAGTAGGAGATAACCAAATTACATAATAGTGGTGCAAGAACTGAGCTACAAGAGATTTTACAGTGCAGCAACATATGACAGGAACAAATAAAATAAAAAATGAAAAGTTCCTATATACAAGCACTTATGATCCACACTTGCAGATCATGGTTGAAGAAGAACCATCACAGTGCAATGTACACAATATTTAACCGACAGCGACCTAAGAGACATTTCATAGGATCGCCTAACAAGAAACTTGCATCCGCATCTTGCAGGCATCAGAAAACATAAACAGAAATTCCAAGACAGCTTGTTAATACTATATGGAACTGGAAAGAAAATGTAACAATCTTTTATTGAATAGATAAAAACCCGGTAATGATTACGGAGTTTTTACTGATTAGAACTATAACAAACATCAAGGCTGACATGAATGATCCCAATTAGACATCAACTCGCATTATTAGTAATTGTCATGATACTAACAAGGAAGAAATCCTGGGATTCATAGAAAATCTGAAGCATCTTCTCACGTTTCTCATCCAAAGAGAGCCCTCGTTTCTTAGACTGGAGAAAAAAAAAATGATATCAAGTTAGATTCTATAAAGTGACAATTCATTCTACACATGATATATGCGGCCTTCGGAGTAATTAAACTTAAGAATAGCAAAATAAGAAGTATAAATGAACAATAAACGCGAAGACAATAAAAGGAACAGAAAAATAAATGTTAAATCATTTGAGGATGTGTAGGGTTTTTCATTTGTGATTTAGGTACGTGCTCAATAAGTCCACTTGTCCTTTGTCATTTATGCAGAGTAAGTATCTATAACTTCTTTATGTTTCGCAACTACCTGGAAGAATAAATAAGTGTTTGAATAGCACATTACAACGGAGTTTAGGATTGCAGGAGATCTGTATTTCAGTGAAATTAGATGCCGATTCTATGCCAGCTTTCAGCTTCAGCAACATTTTGGAACAAAATAAAGCTGAAATTAGATGCCGATTCTATGCCAGCTTTCAGCTTCAGGAATATTTTGGAACAAAATAAAACTGACATCTAACTCCAACTATTAGCATCACATCAAATAATATTGACATCACACATATTTCAGATTTTCTACAACAATTCCAGATCCGTACCAATTTCTCTATTGCATTTCATAGTCGAAGGCAGCATTCACAGTACAAAGTCCAACACAAGAATATAACACATAATTAACGAAACAAGCTTCATTTACACATATCAAAATCTGAATGAATACCAACAGACATCTGCGCATGATAAAACGGACCATTCTTAAACCTTGAATGCTGATGATCGAACATTAGGGTTTTACATCGGAGAGAGTTACCATGTTGAAATATGATCTGGGAAATCGCTGTGAGCTGGGATGGAATCCGTATGTTTCAATTGAGTAGCGAGGAAACTTTGGGAGCGACCTGGTGCGGTTGTACTGGAGAATCAATTTATCAGGCGGGAAATAATACCGGTGGAAGCAATTCCAATAGCAGGTTAAGTCTTTTTCGGTACACTAATTTTCCCTTCCTCAATAATAGTACGTTATATTATTAATAAAAAACAATATGTTATGTTGCAATTTGTATCATTTTTAGGATATTAATCCTAAAAAATAATGAACTATTTTCGCGATAATGTCCCAATAGTGATACAAATTGCAACATAACATATTATTATTGATGAGGGAAAAGTTAGTATACCAAAAAAGGACTTTAGACAAGTAAACAGACCAAAATTGCATTTTTGTTTGGAGCCAACTATTGGCTTCATAGCAAAACTGATTCCAATAGTTGGCTAAATTTTCTTATTTAAAAATCGGACAAAATATACCAAATTTCGAATATTATTATAAAATCGTGTGTTTTTATTTGAAAAGGCACAAAACCTCCTTATATTCATAAATTTTATTTTTATTTTGCCATAAGCGACGTTAATTTTTATGAAATTCCTATTATACCCTTATCATATATATCTCTCTTATCAATAAATAAAGAAGTGTGTGGTCTTTAAATGTTGACGCTTGTCCCTTAAAGTCATCGTTAAAAGTTGACAAGTGTCCTGCTTTTATTACGTTCTTGCCACTGCTTTTTCCGTCTCCCCCATGTGCCTTTTTACCGTGTTATTAAGAGTGAAGCAAGCAGAGAAGGAAAGAGAAAAAATAAAGCAAGCAGGAAAGAGAGAGAGATTGAGTAAACAAAAAAATCCATCTCACGTGCCCTTTTCCCGACTACACAACCCATTACCCCTCAATCATTATCTCTCTCTTCACCTCATTTCTTTCCCCCTCTCTCTCTCTAAAACTCCATCTCAAAATCAACTCTTACTCACTCCCAATTTTCTTCATTCATTGCAGGGAAAACGATGGATTACCCGCCGATTGATACGTTAATGGACCCGGAGATGGAGTTTCTGACGGATAACCAAGACCGGCAACAAGTGGGAGCCCTTCAAAGAATACGTTAGTCCCTTGAAGTGCGGCTACAATGTCGGCCTCCTCAATGGCGCCCTAAAATCTCACTCTGGTTATCCACCCAAGAAGTTGCTTCTCCAACAACGGAGTTATTTTTCCGAACCTTGTTGCTATTTATTAATTTTTTATATTAATTGCTTTCATTTATGTTCAATTTTGTATTGATTGTTGACTTTTTTATTAGTTGTGACATGACAATAACTTTACCAGTTTCTCGGACACGCAACATGGACCGACAGAAGGAGATCCCGTACACGCAACATGGACCGACAGAAGGAGATTGAAGAAAGAGTGTACTGTGCTCCCCAATCTCGCACACTACCCTGCGTTACAACTCAGAAATCCAATTTCTCTCTTTTTTTTAGACAGAGCACCCCACGATTACACAGATAGAACTAGAGCGGCGACGTGGCTACACGGGTTGGTTGGAGAAGATAGGTTAAAGGCGACATAGATGATTAAAGCAACGATGGAGGACCGTGTGTGGGCAGGACCGTCGGGCAGCGGCGAGCCCCGATCTATGGGATGCGATCAGTGGTGTCGGCGTCACTCGACATCAAGGAGAGAAAAGTTGGCATCTCTATTTGCATCTTCCTCTACACTTTCTCAAAAGGCTTTCATATTGCATCTGAAACGACAACAAGGGATTTCCCTATCAAAGTCCTTGAACTAGCCGCAATCTTATGCATGAGGTAGTTCGATTCTTTTCTTTTTCTCTTCATAGTAACAACAACGGTGGTGGCTCACATACCAACACCGGTGAGATTTGCCTTTTTTTTTTCCTTAATTCTGGGCTGGGTTTCTCGTGATTACGAGCTTTGAAGCAAACTCAATGAGAACCTTCTCTTTGGTTATAAATAGGTAATAGGTTGTTAATTATGCGTTGCTAACTTGATCGACACACGTCCTTGAATGTTCTTGCACGACTTCTTTTGTGGAAATATGGTGCTGGATATGTGCATATGAACGTACTCAAGAGGGGTCACCGTCGATAGCCTCCCGAGCGGTGTTAGAGCACACAGTAGTTTGCTCTACGTGAGCCCACCTGCAAAATTTGCACGCTCAAGGTACAAAACCATGGCAGATGATCTCTTGGTCAATTCTTTTTTCTTTTTTATTATCACATTTTGTTTTCTCGCATGGTTCGGTTTTCCATGTGTTGAATTTTTCCTACTTTATGAGTTTCAGCTAACCGAGTTACTGTAGATCTTCAAATGTGCATGCCGTACTTTTGGTTCAGCATATATTGGTTGTTGGTTCAGGTAATATCGACGGGTTATGTGTTTAATGAGCACACTGTTTGTTTATTTGATTTTTTATGGAGAGTAAGCCCATGTGAATACAGGCATGTGGATATCGATTACTAATCCAGAGAGCAACCCGATTACGTTTAAAGATATTGAGGTAGTTGTCCAATCCAAGGATGGAATTGTGTGCTTAATATGCTTGAAAATTATATGCTTAATATGCTTGGTGTGAAGAATTCTTATGGGCTGGCTCAGAAAAATTGTGAGATTACGTCCGCTCTGTTGTGACGGCTAAAGGATGGAATGACAGAGCTTTAATATGGCAGTCAGATTCAAAATATACTCAGTTTTGATCATTCTAAATCATATGAGCATATGAACTGTCTGATTTTTCAAGTTCTATTTTTTTTGCTGCTTTTGGAAGCTGCATTTGTAACGGTCAAAGAATATAGATTGAAAGTTCAGATGCTGAACAGAACAAAGGCATTATAGAGAAACATTATTACATTCACGATCAGATTATCGAACAAAGAAAAGACTTGGCCGAAAGAGGTACATTGTGTCTACTAAGGTCTATACTTAGCCTGATGTTCAGAAGCCTCTCCAAAAAAAAAAAGAAGGGCTTAGCTTAGTGCTCCGAATTATCAAGGAATAAACTTGACGCCAAATCCCCCAATAGGATTTATTTAAATTCTGATGCTCTTGGCCACTCATCTCATAGGGACTGGAGGTTGTGGGTGACTTAGTGAAGGTGAGTGAGTGCAATGGGTATGGGAAAAAATAAACATAGATTGTGTTCTGAAATTAATTATAAGTTTGTGGATCAACATTGTGCCCTTGTTTTCCTATTAGTTATTTGTTTCATTTCTCTTCTTTTTGTTTCTATGTTTCTTGGGTCAGCCGGGGGAACCAAACGGTGCTTCTTTTTACGGTCATTTTTGTGACCCACATGGTAGTCCTCCAATTTATGGCGATTGCTCGTATAATTGTACGCTAGATGATGTAGCTAGGGAGGAACAAAAAGTGCCATCTTCGTAAGGTTAGGTTCCTACTTTTTTTTTTTTTTTTTTCCTTTCCTATTCCTTCTACAATGTTCTTGATTAGCCTAAACAAAGATTGAGAGAGATTCCATTGTGGTTCTCTTAACAACAATCACTGTTATTGGATAAAAATGGGGATGTTTCACTTTTTTTTGATAGTTTGAATACTTTTACACTATACATTTAGTCATTTCGTTTTATCATTATCATGATTATTATTACTTGAGGCCCAAAAGGTTGTGAGAAAGACGGAGCTAATCATATGTCCGACTGGTACCCGTTTCAGAGTAGATGTCGAGAAAAACTGAAAGGAGTCCTAAATAATACTGAGTCTTCTGGATTGTATGGAGAATATACGTAAATTGTGTTCTGGTGAGAAGAGCATTGTGTTTAGCCAGTAGGCTTCGTTTTTGGATATTGTGTAAATACCTTTGAGAAAGAGACTGTAAGAAAAAGAGGGAGAAGGTTTTGCATGAGTAGAAACAAGACTGTAAGAAAAAAAAGATATAAAAAACAATGAATAACTGCTAATTGAATCGTTGCTTTGGTAATCGTGATAATGATTTTATATTGGTGGTTTAGGTATTGTTGATGTCCCTGAAAACTGGTGGTGTGGGCTTGAATCTGACTTTGATAATGTCTTTACAATAGTATGTACGAGTACAACTCACAGGAGAGTTTTGCGAACTATTTGTTTACTATTCATTTTATAGTGAAGGTGACACTCTGGCATGGGTCGTGACCTGTCTATAGGACCAGTGGGTTTGTGCTATTGGAGGTATAATTTTTACTTAATTTTTGGATAAATATTGAATGGGGTGGGATTCCGAAAAGAGTTTGTTTGATTGTAGATGCGATCACTTTTTCGTCCAGGGCATGTAAATGTTGCACCTCGCCACTTGACTACCGAAGCAGAAACTTTTACTTTCTGCCACAATGATTCATGCGGTGGGTAGAGTTAATTATCTTACATTTTTAAAGAAGTTTCTAGATTTTTTTTTCATCACAAGTAGTCAAAGATTCTGATTGTAGGTTATGAATGTTCTTGGATTTGACTCCCACGCTTTTGCTCATTTTCAGGATGAGAGACAAGAAGGCATACTCATGTACATTGTGTAATGATTTTGCTGACTCAGGAGATTTTTTATTTTTATTTTTTGGATGTGCCTCCTGTGCATTTGGTATATGTTGTCTTTGGGTCTTGAGTGATTGAATTCTCTTTGCCTTAAATATAATACACGTGCTACTTGGTAGTTGGGATGTCTTTTATTTGGTTGACAAACTTAATATTGGGATAGTATTCAACTCCTGGAGAAATTTAACCGGTAAATATATTGTTTTTTTTTTTAAAAACTTGATTGTATCCATGAAAAGTGAGTAGTCTGTCAATGCAACTCATATGTGAAACTGATGTATGTTCTCAAATGTCGAATCAGGATAACTATGGGTCAATAGCTTAATGACTATTAATCTTTTTCAATTTATTTTCTGTTCTTTCATTTTTACTCCCAAATGTTTGTAACTCTCTACAACAAAGTTAATGTCATGTATGAAGAATACAACTTCTCAGTGCCCCATATTTACCGAAAATGGCTTATTCATTAGAGAAAAGTTCACAGAATCACTTGAATAAGTTACGTCCTCTCTTTTCGCGTCTTTGAACTGCAACAATTGCCTATAAACCTGTTTAATGAGCCTAAGTTTATTTTTTTAACAACCAGTGTAAAAATTGGACATGAACTAAACAGATCATTACAACTACTGACAAATTTACTGTATTTTTAGACTAAATTTGAGTTCGCCGTGCGTGCACGGTGTGACCCAATTAGTCTACATATATAATTGCATGTTAAAAATTTTGATTCTATTTTTCCACGATTTTTTTTTTTTTATTTAGATATGGAAACTAACTTTACATTGTATTAATTAATTGTAATAATCTTTTTTGCCTATTTAATACTAGAAAATTTACAATTGCATTAACGTAGTTGGGCCAGTGTTTTTTTAATGTTTAGGTAATCGATAGTCCATGATTGGGCAAGTACAGTTGAACCATTTCAATGTCGTCATGTTTATGTTTTTTTTTTTTATTTTTTTTTTATTTTTTTGCATAGAATCACCTCGCGGCAGTAAAAACCGTAATACGTGGACCCCACATTATAAGGACGAGTGTCAAGTGCGGACTTGATCAACCTCATGAGATAATGGTACACAACTCATATGGACTCCACAACGAACATCGCCAAAAGTCGATTGTTATGTAAATAATGTCAAGGCGTAGGGAAAAACTCATATGGACTCTATCAACTTTCTTGCTAGGATACCAAATTGTGTGTGTAGTTTCCCTAGAGAAATTAGACGAAATGGTTCTGGATAAAGCTTAAGCTCAATCTTAAGAGGTTTGAACCCCTTCTTTGACAGTTTCAAAGTAGGGAGATCTAAGAAATATACTTTTCAGTTTGTGAGTGATTGTGTGAAAAACAAGATCATGAGTTGGAAAAACAAATTTCTGAGTGGGTTAGGGAGAAAGATATTGATCAAATCTGTGTTGAGTTCTCTTCCCATTTATATAATGTCATGTTTCAGATTCCCCATCAACATAATCAACCAGATTTGTATATGTTAGTGTTATATACTAAAAGCTTAGCTTTAGATGATATTACACTTTTGCCCTTTATGAATGAGAATCATGTTAGAGTAAACAAGTTCTATGTTCTGTTGTTTTGCACATGATAGAATGGGTCATCATCGGTTGAACAGAAGATCATTCTATCAGTTACTTGCGAAACAAGAATTAATGGTTCACAACCTAGATGAAAATGAACACCCCATTAGAACGGTTGTAGTGTCAACGGTACAGTTGGTCTTGACTGATTAGTTGCACTAGTACATTTATGTATTGAACAAGATCCCAAAGAGAAGAAGTTCGTTTTATACTGATCGTCGTAAACGAACTAAGCCTCGGTTAATTACTGCGTTCTCGTAACCCGTAAGATATTAACAGACATATATATGCAGTACATATTACTTTGATTCACTTGGGTGAGGTTCAGTTCACTAGACTAATATTCTTAATGTCTTGGGTAATATTGTTGTATGTATGATGTGCTATTAGGATATTTACGGTCACTATATGCGTCAGTTTGATGATGTCCCCTGTTGGGATCTGTGAGGATCTCGTTATGTACAAATCACGAATTCAATAGCAAACGTAAACCTATGCGCAGCGGATCTAAAGGTTTGACGTAGAGAACTTACGACTTAAAATTTATGTAGATCTGGTTGACCACGAACGGTTGACCGCAATTGATTGACCGCAACACGCGTCTTGGGTTGCACGAACAAGATCAGATCAAAACTGGATCAAACGGATGCAAACAGATCAAAACGAAATTTTGCTACCAGACACCTTCCGGCGGCGCGTGAGGGCGCGTGCGGCGTTGGATTCCGGCGACTCGGCGGCGATGGAAAGCTCTCGTCGAGACGGTCGTCTGGGTATACTGTACGTCTCAATCGGACTTCCGGTTAGTTCTGTAGGTCAAAATCTATTTCGTCTCGGTTTACCTACAGATCTTCTACTGTATTACTCAATACACCCTTCTTCAACTTGTACCAGTGGAGCAACAAGAAGAAGATAAAGCTCGAATGAGATCTGAGAGAGAGAGGCGTGTGAGGCGTGTATCTCGTGTGAATGAGACTTCTCTTCTCTTCTCATGAGCTTTATGATGTATATATAGAGCTACAGTAGGGACCCTAAGGAGATTAGGAAAAAGGCTCCTTAATTAATTAGACTAATTGTGGGCCAAATCCACTCCTCTAATTAATTAAATAATATAAATGGGCCACCAAAATTATATTATTGCACTCCCTCTTCCTAGCCCAAATTACATTTGAGACTCCAATAATAATTACTCGATTTACCTCCCCACGTTTAAGATATAATGTTCATTAATTAATTCGATTACTGACAATCAAGAATTAATTAATTTATTATTATTTCACCGAAGCTAGCGCTCGTTCATCACATTCTTATTATGCCGGAATTTAATCCACCTGCAGGGTTTAGCATAACAATCCTTCATGAACTCACTCCGGGGACATCATCAAACTAACGCACATGGTGACCGTAAATATCCTAACAACACATCCTATATATAATACTATTACCCAAAACAGTAGGAATATTAATCCAGCGAACTGAACCTCACCCATGTGAATCAAAGTAATATATATTATATATATCTGCCTGTTTACTATCTTATGGGTTAAGAGAACGCAGTAATTAACCGAGGCCTAGTTCATTTACGACGATCACTATAAAATGAACTTCTCCTCTCTGGGATCCTGTTCAATACATAAATGTACTAGTGCAACTAATCAGTCAAGACAAACTGTACAGTTGACACTACAACCGTTCGGATGGGGTGTTCATGTCCATCTAGGTTGTGAACAACTATTCTTGTTCGCAAGTGACTGATAGAGTGATCTTCGGTTCGCCCGATGACGACCCACCCTATCTAAGTGCAGAACAACAGAACGTAGAACTTGTTTAATCTAACATGATTCTCATTCATAAAGGGTAAATGTGCAATATCATGCAAAGCCAAGCTTTCAGTATATAACACTAACAATCTCCCACTTATACTTGAAGCTTTCGCTTTTACAGTATAGTCCTATCAATCCGTTATTCTAAAAGACCTATGTCGATCCTATTTCCATGCATCCTCTGATGCAATCTTCGCAACATCAACGCCTCCTCTACTAACGATATCCCTTCGAATCAGATGGTATTTGCGCTCTATGTGTTTGCTTGCCCTGTGGGCTCAAGGTTCTTTTGAGTTCGCTACTGCTCCACTGTTATCACAGTACACGGTGATACCACGTGGCAAACTCGGTATAACCTCTAAGTCCACTAAGAAGTTCCTGAGCCAAACTGCCTCTTTCGCTGCCTCTGAGGCTGCTATGTACTCGGCTTCCATGTTGGAGTCTGCCACGCATTTCTGCTTAGCACTCCTCCATGAATGGCTCCACTTCCCAAGGTAAACACATAACCTGAGGTTGACTTACTTTCATCCTTATCTGACTGGAAATCGGAATCACTGTAACCCAGAGGTAACAAGCTGCCTGCACGGTAAACTAACATGTACTCCTTAGTCCTTCTCAGGTACTTGAGTATATGCTTCACCGCAGACCAATGTTCCTGTCCTGGAATACTTTAATATCTAGCTACCATGCCAACGGCGTAGCTAATATCTGGCCTAGTGCATAGCATAGCATACATGAGACTTCCTACTGCCGAAGCATAAGGAACTGTCTTCATCTCCTCTATCTCCTTAGACGTCTTAGGAGACATCTCCTTAGATAGAGGTATTCCATGTCTGAAAGGTAGCATACCTTTCTTGGGATCCTGCATGCTGAATCTGGCCAAGACAGTATCTATGTATGAAGACTGGGATAAGCACAACATTCTCTTCTTACGATCTCTAATGAGCCTAATACCAAGAATGTGTCTTGCTTCACCAAAGTCCTTCATATCAAACTGCTTAGACAACCACACTTTACGTCTGATAACTCCTTCTTATTGTTTCCAATAAGCAGTATGTCATCTACGTAAAGCACAAGAAACATCACCACGCTCCCACTGATTTTCTTGTAAACACAGTGCTCATCCGGACATTGAGTGAACCCGTACGACTGGATCACCTCATCAAAACGGATGTTCCAAGATCTCGAAGCTTGCTTCAGTCCATAAATAGACCGATTAAGCTTACACACTAGATGCTGACGACCTTCAACAATGAATCTCTCTGGTTGCTGCATATAGATGTCTTCCTGCAGGTTCCCATTAAGGAAAGCTGTCTTGACATCCATCTGCCAGACCTCATAGTCCATATGAGCGGCTACAGCCAAGAGAATCCGAATGGACTTAAGCATAGCTACTGGCGAAAAGGTCTCATCATAATCAATACCCTCGATCTGGGTATAACCTTTCGCAACAAGCCTAGCTTTAAAGGTTTGCACCTTCCCATCCAATCCTCTCTTTCTCTTATAGATCCACTTACATCCAATGGGTCGTACCCCATCGGGTGGTTCTACAAGATCCCAGACCTGATTAGAGTCCATTGACCCCATTTCAGCTTTCATTGCAACATTCCATGAATCTGCATCTTTATCTTGGAGTGCCTCATCGTGAGTTCTTGGGTCCGATTCTAGGCCTCCTGGAACTGAGTCCGATGACTATCCAAGACCTATCCATCGGTCGGGTAAATAAGAAACCCTCCCACTGCGACGAGGCACTGTCTGCACTGGTACACTCTCAGTGTGTTGTGTTGCAGTATTATGTGATGTATCTACTTGCGCACTTAGTGGGGAACCATCGATCTCACCCCTTAACTCCTCTAAGACTAGTCTACTCGCGGGATTATGATTCATAATATAGTCTTCTTCCAAGAATCTAGCGTTCGTCGAAACGATCACCTTCTGATCCTCAGGACTATAAAATAATCCACCTTTCGTTCCCTTGGGATAGCCTAAGAACACTCGTGCTTCCGAACGTTTCTCCAACTTGCCAGGTTCCTGCACTAACACGTGTGCAGGACTACCCCAAACTCGAAACTGCGAGGAACTGGGCTTGCGCCCTTTCCACATCTCATAAGGGGTAGTGTCAACTGACTTCGATGGAACCATGTTCAGAATATACGATGCCGTTTCCAATGCCAAACCCCAGAATTAATCTGGTAACCTCGAATAACTCATCATATACCTAACCATCTCCATAAGAGTCCTATTTCTTTGCTCTGCAACCCCATTCTGCCGGGGCATGCCGGGTGCAGTCAGTTGGGATTCAATCCCAGCTTCCAATAAGTATGTCCTGAACTCTCCAAAAAGGTATTCGCCACCTCGATCAGAACGAAGTGACTTGATACATTTACCATGAAGCTTCTCCACAACTGCCCGATACTCCTTGAATATCTCAAAGCATTCGGACTTGCGGTGCAACAGATAAACGTACCCATATCTCGAGTAATCATCTATGAAAGACACATAGTACTCGAAACCTCCTCTAGCCTGGATCAATGTAGGACCACACAAATCAGAATGAATCAATCATAGCACTTCTTGGCTCCTATACCCCTTTGCCGTAAACGGCCTCTTGGCCATCTTACCTTCCAGGCATGATTCGCAAGT